TAACTTGTGCAATTGTGTAAAATCATGTTATCAACACTTTTGTTACATACTTTGACTGATTTTGATTGAAATAATTAATAGATTTTTAAAAATACAAAATGCCTCTTTTTTGGGTTAGTATAGTACAGAAGCCATTATCATTACATATTGGGGGGCGGTCTTTTCGACTTAGAAAAAGCATATGATACAACATGGAAACATGGTATCCTAAAAGATTTACACGAGTTTGGATTGAGGGGTAGACTACCTCAATTCATATCTCGGTTTCTAAATAACAGACAATTCCAAGTTCGGGTGGGTTCCACACTGTCTGACTACTTCCACCAAGATTAGGGCGTCCCCCGAGGCAGCATCCTGTCTGTCACACTTTTTTAGCATCAAAATTAACAGCCTCACTAACGTTCTGAACAGTTGCGTTGATGGGTCCCTTTTCGTGGATGACTTCAATATTTCATGTCGTGGTAAGAACATGCACGCAATAGACAGGCAGCTACAACTCTGCCTTAACAAATCCAAAAATGGGCCAATGAAAATGGTTTTAGGTTTTCAAAATCCAAAACGAATTGTATTCACTTTTGTCGTAAGTACAAACCACACAAGGATCCAGACCTAACTTTAGATGGTACTCCCATCAAAGTAGTAGAAGAGGCCAATTCCTTGGACTCATATTCGACCGCCACCTGATATTCTTACCACACATAAAATATGTGAAAACAAAGTGCCTGAAGGCTTTAGACTTGCTAAAAGTAGTTTCAAATACAGAGTGGGGAAGGGATCAGACCACCCTCCTTCACCTGTACAGATCATTAGTCCGCAGTAAACTGGATTATGGCTCCATTGTCTACGGTGGAGCCTGCAAAAGCAATTTAGAAAAATTAGACTCTATCCACCACCAAGGACTAAGGCTCTGCCTGGGAGCTTTTAGGACCTCTCCGGTAGACAGTCTATATGCGGAGGCCAATGAACCTTCCCTTGAACAACGCCGCATTAAACTCTCACTGCAGTATATCACTAAATTACGTTCAAATGAGTCCAATCCAGCATACAACTGTGTTTTCAACCCGCTCTATGAAAACTTATTTCCTAAACTGCCAAGCCTGGTTCCACCACTTGGAATAAGGATCAAACCACTCATATCTGCAGCTAAAATTGATCTCAACATCATTGCGCCTTACCGACTTCTGTCCTCACCACCATGGCAAATGGTGAAACCACAGGTCGATCTTACCCTCACCAAACTCAAAAAGTCTGAAACAAATCCCTTGGTGTTCCAACAGGAATACAACCAGTTACGTTCGAAGTATAACACTCACAGATCCATCTTCACAGACGGGTCCAAGGACGATGGCCAAGTTGCCAGCGCTACAGTCATTGGAGCCAAGACTGTCTCCTCTAGGATCCCCGACAACAGTTCCATTTTCACCGCTGAAGCCAAAGCTATCTTCTCAGCTCTGACCTACATTCAACAGCAAAATCAGTCCAAAAACTTCATCGTATTTACAGATTCATTATCCTGCCTTCAAGCACTTCTAAACGTGACTTCAAGTCACCCAATCATCCTGGACATATTAGAACTGTACAACGACCTTTCTACTAGCCAATATGACATCATCCTCTGCTGGTTGCCGGGTCACGTCGGCATAGCAGGTAACACTAAGGCCGATGCTGCAGCAAAAGCAGCTCTTGAAAAGCCCCTATCTCCACTGCTAATCCCGTACAGTGATTTCAAACCCACTATCAAAAGCTATACTCGGGACTTGATGCCAAAAAGGTCGGACACCCAAGTAGGAAGAAACAAACTCCATGAATTGAAGCCAACAGTCGGTTATACCTGCTTGGGTTGCCAGTCAAGACATGATGAAGTAATTTTACGACGATGTCGTATTGGCCATAGTCGGTTTACACATGACTATCTGCTAAAAACAGATGGGGATGGACCCCCCATATGTCTCTCCTGCGATGAGGCTCTCACCGTCAAGCATATTCTGCTTGACTGTGTGGATTTTACATCTGCAGGGACTCGCATTATCACGCAACCAATCTGAAAGATCTGTTCTCAAGCGTGAGCGCTCATCTGATACTAAACTGCCTGAGGGAAGTCGATCTATATCATAAAATGTAACTGTGTAATGTCAATAACGAATGTATCTGCTTTTCAATCTAGTGCTATGACAACGTAATGAATGTATGACTTTGAAACGAAACCACTTTGTACTTACAATGTATATTAATGCAGACTTGTTCTCGTCACTATATGGCTGGAATAATGCCGATGTGACGTAAAGCCCAACTCAACTCAACTCAACGGTAGGGTAGCCTAATGGTTAAAGCATTCGCTCGTCACGCCGAAGGCCCGGGTTTGATTCCCCACATGGGTACAATGTGCGAAGCCCATTTCTGGTGTACCCCGCTGACATATAGCTAAAAGCGGCGTAAAATTAAACTCACTCGCTCATTACATGTTGACATACCGAAATATGCCTGAATTAAAACCTATAGATCAGATAAATGTTGTGATACATTTCAAAATAGCGCGGCGAAAGAACTAGCGATAGATTCATACACGGAAAACAAATGTAAATTGATCAATGACAGATTATTAAAGATTGTTGTTATCACTTGTTATACATTCTGTCGTCTCTACCTTGTGTGGTTGATATTATGACCAACTACCCACTTCATGGGGCCCGTCCACCAGAACTGTTTTCCTCCAAATGCTACAACCTTATTGTACTGACTCGGGAAACCGTGAACAACGCAAGAACTGTAACTGAGCTGTACTACTTCCTTCAGATATTTGGATATTTTATGCCATGTGCTTTCATCTATTGTTGTTCACGGGCTCTTGTCGATACAGGCTTCTCATTTGTCACTACAGTTATTCTGTGGAGTTTTCGCAGGATTTTTGTTGGGTTCAAAAGAAGAGAGTGGTGTCGAACGTTTAATCTCCCGTTACGTTAAGGTAAGTTAATCCCTTTCCTGTTTTCTAATATTAAGTGGGTCAAAGGCAAATGTAATTTAGCCACATTTACCGTCTGAACACTCCGTCATAACAAGCAGGTGTCCAGAAAATCGTTGTAAAGGTATGAGAAGTTTTGCGCATCCTTAACTGAAATATTCTGTGAGCAAAAAGGTATGGTAAAGGTATGACAGCTGCCTGTAACTAATCAAATCTGGAGCAGGCAATCCGATGATTCACATCGTTGCGAATGAAAGTATGGAATCTATTCTATCCCACTGCTAGCCAAAGAATGACAGTGTTAGTATAACATGTCCTTCTTCATCCCTACAAACTGCCCATCATGTTCCAAGTCCGGAAACTGCTTTTCTCGCGTAAATTCAAGATAGCGATTTAAGTAACATTTGTAGAAAACAAGATGTAACGCTGGAAGACTGTGAGGAAAATGAATGATATCTTCGACATGGTGCGATGTGTGTGGCTGTTACCTCTTGCTACATTCAGCTGATATAATGTTTGCCAGAAATGTGTTTAGATAATCATTATCTACTATGAGAGTTTGGTCAAACAAAACTTTAAACAAAATTATTGTTTAATAATATTCCTATTCATATCTGAATACTCATATCAAAGACCCGTGAATATCCGGGTTAGAATTAGTCTTCAGCAACCCATGTTTGTCGAAAGAAGCGACTAACGGGATCGGGGTGGTCAGGCTCGCTGACTTGGTTGACACATGTCATCGTATCCCAATTGCGTATAGATCGACGCTCATGATGATCACTGGATTGTCTGGTCCAGACTCGATTGTTTACAGACCTCCGCCATATAGCTGGAATATTGTTGAATATGGCGTTAAGCAAACAAACATAAAACAGAACAAACACAAACAAAGAATATCATAACATCAACTTACACTTATGTGCTTTTACAAAACAAGGAAGTCAGCATTATACTTTAGCATTAGTCCATGAAAAAAAGCATATTGACAGGCGATGATACCTATGGCCGACAAACAACTTCCCTTTCCACAACAGGTGGGTTCAGTGTATTTCCACCGTGGACGTCGCGATGCCTCAGTTGAAGGGATGCAGGTCGATGGTTACCACTTTGGTGATCTCAGGAGCACGGGCGATGACAGATGTAGAAGCATAATTGAGGGAATCTGGGATTCGAACCCAGAATTTGTCATTTGGGGCAACCCCAAAGGGCACACCCCTGACCCAGCATATCCCCATCAACACAGCATATGATCTACATCAATATAGGCGTTCATAACCGTCACAACAAATTTCTAATCCGTCATATAAATCTTGCTAACGTTTTAGTCACACAAATCATGCATTAAACTATGGACAACACCTGTGGCCATAATGTCCTCTGAGGACAACAAACGAGCGGACACTAAACACCTACTGACGTAATATTTTACGCTTTCCAAACGCTGCAATGTCAAGAGACACCCTGTGACTTCTAGTCAGTTCCCTCGTTTACAGAAATTTCTGTCGAATGATTATTGCGTTCTAAAGAACTCAAAGCAGCTCTGTTGAATGCACGAATCATGATGTGTATCATATGTTCAGATAATCTCAAACTCATTTGACATTAAATGAACTGCGGGACAAAAGTCACTTGGAAATTATCTAAACTTACAAACATTGCTAGACTGAAAAGAGTCGTGTGTGAGATACTCATTGATATGCTGCCTGTGATATCGTCTGTGATATCCGTGACAAAGCCATCACCATTAACGACGAGCGTATGAATTTATGATCAAATGACAGGGAAATGAGATGTTATTGATCACCAAAATTCCTTCCTTCAACCGTTCGGTTAGTAAACAGCAATAATGATCATTACAATAGGTACAGCTAAGCAGACTAAGTGCACTGTTGACTTCCATTGACTGTGACGACGTAACATCTGACGATGTCACAATAATCTGTAATCTCAAGTTCACATCTATGTAACGGCAATAATGTAAAGCATAAGGAATCAGTCCCACAAACAAAGCAAATGTAACTGTTAAGTCTTTACGTACCTCAGCCACCGTTTGCTAGCAATGTTAACATATCTCTTCCAACAGCCAAGTGCCAGTCCCGACCAAGATTCACCTTCAGAGACCCAGATCCCGACTGTATACTGACATGAGATCCAGTGGTACTGTATCTGTTTTACGCGACGTCACAACATCGTTAAATCCATTCAGCTCCACGAATCAAGTCTCTAGATAATACAAGTAAGCTAATTAATTCATTATCATTCCCTGTCGCGACTCTATAGCTGAAGGCACTATTGTGCAAAGCTCTCATACTTGGTGCTAAAAAGCTTAAGGTTTTTGTTTACGGCGCATATTAGAGTAGGTGCTCCATGTATGTCAGTACACTACATTGTCGCAGGTTCGTTTCAAAAGCCATGCTTCTTATCGATACCAGATCGTACCATACCTTGTCATCTTAAACCTCTGATTATGAATTAGTCAGGAAACAAAATTGGAACTTGTATAAAGTCTATATATCAGGGTTATACAAGTGTCACAGATGCTAATTTAAACATGATTAAGAAGTGAAATCAATACACAGGATCAAAAGCCTGATAGTTCACCACTGAAATAAACGTAAAAACAGTAGGAAATGCATGCCATGACCGGATTTACGTATGTTTTCAGATATTTCCTAACTTCGGGCATATATTTCATATGAATCTATACCTTTGAAACATATGCTCATCGTACATTTTCGTATGCACAAGTACCTCGTTCATGTATGCCATGACCGGATTGTCAAGTATTTCCAAACATGAATTGCAAAACAGATACCCCAGTAAATACATAATCATACAGTATTTCCGATGCATTCCTTTGAATTTCAATGGGTGCTGAAATTTCCGATTTCGTTCTAAGTTTACTCAGGTTGGAAACACGTAAATTTACTGAGGTGGGGAAACACATGTAAATTTGCAAATTTGCAAATGTTTACACACCTTAGATATTTATGTATCATACTGGATTTCAGGAGTATGTATATGAACGATTCATACACTTTCATGTTACCTGTGGTCAAGCAAGATGGTCATTTGTTTCCATCATGTGAATTACTTGGTTCATGTAATTTCACTTTCACACATTTTAGTACGTTTGAAATCAACGTTCACGTGACCTCGTTATTCTTATCATCAAAAGAGCCTAATTAAGAAAGCAGTATTACGCAAGCTAACATGGCTTATTAAGCTTCACTCGCTCTTGCTACCAGTACCAGTAACGCTTTGTCTGCGGTGTTGGCAAATCTTGTGAGTGGTGAACAAAAGGCCGATGAGCTGCCCCTTTGTCCTTGCAAGTGTCCCTAGCTGTCCCAACAGAATAGCAATTTATCTCTCTTGGAGCAAGGTGAAACACGCTACACGAACCAACTCGTAATTTCTAAAGTCTCTTCAGCTCGCGCATCACTACCGTAAAATAGTTTTTGGCAGTACATAATTGGAACATTATTGCGCTGCATGTGACCTTTCTTAAAAGTCTGACAGTGCCTGAACCGTGTTCTTTCTCCTTCCGCTAAGCCTTTGCTGTAATAACGCCATACATGAACTTAAAGGTGTCCATATTTGTTTCATTAACACAAACGTATTCGTCTGGCTGGCTAAGTAGTCGTAACCAGTATGATATAACTCTTGTTTTATAATTGACTTGGAGTGGATATCTTCCACATTCCGCTAAAACAGCTTTATTAGGAGAGCGATAACCAACTCCTAGGACAAATTTGCAAAACTTAGAGTGGACTTTTTCAATGTTATGACGATACATTGTTCCCCAAATTTCTGAGCCGTAGAGCAAGATTGGTTGAATTTTGCCATCAAAAATCTTAAGGCATGTATCTGGGGGAAGAGATTTAAATCGACATATAAATTTTTTGATAGGATATAACGCCTTCTCGGCTTGTTTACACAGAACCTCACAAGCTCTTGAAAACAGGTTCCGGCATGAAAACACTATTCCGAGATATTTGTAATAGGAAACAGATTCCAGTCTTTCAGAGCCAATAAACCATTTTTCATTTTTGAAAGTCCACCACCTTTTTAAATACAACAATCTTAGTCTTTTCGGTATTAATCGACAGTCCCCATTTTTTGCAATATGATTTAAGAACGTCTATTTTCTTCTGCAAGTTTATGACACTATCTCCAAAATGGCGACGTCGTCCGCAAATAATAAGATAGATAATGCATCTACAGTTTCATCAATGAATGCACCACTGTATTCGCTATTCACAATATCGTTTACGAGTTCCTCTATATATAGAATAAATAAAACGGGAGACAGTATACAACCCTGTCGGACTCCGGCTGTCGACATAAATACATCAATCATAGTCTGCTTACTGCATCTCACAGCTGCTCTCACATTCGAATACATATTGCGAAGCAGAGAGGTTATTTTGCCATGTAAACCATTATTCAAAAGAACATACATTAATTTATTCCTATCAACAGTGTCGAAGGCTTTTTTGAAGTCTACAAATATACAGTAGAATTTGCCACGTTTTTTTCTTATGTATTTATGAATTATTGAGTTAAGTATGAATATCTGGTCAATTGTACTGTAACTGTTTCGGAAGCCAGCTTGTGACTCAGAGAGTAGTTCTTTGGTTGATATCCAGGATTTTATACGCGTGTCAAGTATTGATGTAAAAACTTTACTGATAATGTCTAGAAGCGCTATTCCCCTATAATTATTAGGGTCATCTCTATTTCCTGTCTTGTGCAATGGGACTATAATGCCTAAATGCCAAGCTTCTGGCAGTTTCCCCGTATTAAAAATTTCATTGAAAAGACGTTTATAGAAAGGTGACAATACATGACACGTAGCTTTGATAGCCTCCGCCGGGATACCATCTGCCCCAGGGGATTTACCGTTTTTCAAGTTATGAACTGATTTTCTAATTTCTTCCTCCGTAATTTCATCACACAACATATGGTCACAGTCTTTACATTGGTCGCAATTTGTAACATCATGGTTATCGATAAAGTGTTTTACATCATCATCAAAGTGGGATTTATGGTCGTTATGTGGGTTGAGCAGTGAACTGAAATATTCAAACCAGTTATCAGCTGATATGTTACAACAACTACGTTTCGATTCGCTGTGTTTCTTAATGGCCTTCCAAAAGTCTTTACATATATTGCTCTTTGCTGCATCTAAGATTTCATTTTCAATATCTGTCTCATATACCGCTTTTTTGTGGTTGCATAGGTTTTTAAAGTCTCGTTTTGCATCGAGATACTTGGTGCAATGCACAGGATCGGCTGTCACTCTAAATCTATCGAGAAGTGTATACTTTCTGCGTTTTAAAATTTCACATTCTTTGTCAAACCATTTAGGTTTTGTCTGTTCGTGCTTTGGTCTGTGGGTCTTGCGTGTATGGGAGTGTTGGGTATCAGTTAGAGAAAAACAGTGTCTGAAAAGGTCAAGCAAGCAGGTTACGGTTTTATTAATGTCCTTATGGATATTGTTATCAAAGTTCTGTGTGAAAGTATCAATGGAACTGCACATAATATCCACAAACAGATTAAACTCCAATATAAACGTGTTAACATGGACTGTTGTAAAATGAAACAAAAACATGATTTAGGTGAACTACATGAGCTTAAAATCTCATGTGACCTCCAATAACTAAGATCCTTGACTAGAATGTCATTATACAGTCCTACAAAATTTATAAAACTTTGGCTGTTATCATTAATTGATAACATAGGTCCCATTATGAAACAGAAACAAAAATAACAAAATGATGTGAATTGTGGAATGGTAACTCAGAGCCAGTAGCTCTTCTTATAAGTCCGAATAGAAGATTGGTCAAATCTTTGAAGGGCATTTAGAAGTGGAATGAATAAGAAAAGCAAAATTTGTTGATGTCAACTTCTTTATTGTGAATATTCATGACCTGATGAAGGAGCAAGTATACACTCCGAAACGTTGTGTTATTCACAACAAGAACATAACTCTTGCTTCTCTAAAGAGGTTGGTCCATATGAGGCCACTTAATTCCTCCAACACGTCACATATGAAACCATTCAAACCCCAAAACCTAAAGCATTTGGTAGAATATTTGGCACTTTTGGAGCCACTTATAAAGACACTTCCACTTGTAAAATATTACTTGAAACAGAAAGGAAACAAAAGTATATTTGTCGCTTTTAGATCACATTTTGTTGCTATGGAAATCAAGCTCAGATAATTCAAAGGGACCTAACTCTGGATGACCCGATATATTGCAGAATCTGAACCATATAGCGATAATCGTATCGCCAGATACTGTACCGGTAAATACCGGTTTACCGGTAATATTGCACAGCCCTACATGTTGGACCTCTGCCCGTTTAAATTGACGATCCATAAACCCAGATTCTGAAAGCAAATGTCACACAAGTAAATGTGATATTGCATTGCTATATTTTTCCCTGTCGGAGAAGTCCTTCTCACAAGATATATATTCCGTTGTTTGGAGCAGGCCTATGACTATTACGCCCCAGTGTTGCTAAACATCTTACAGACCTTTAACCTGACATAGAGGCAGACTTCGCATGTTCAAGTTCATATCTGACAGGTGCCGAAAATATTGATTCTGACAAGAAAGCAATATCTCAGTGGGTTATTGTTTTCCTAAGTAAGTGGGGTGTTTTCTACAACATTGGAGATAATGGTATCGTTGTCCTTCTGATAACGGAAGCTCTACCCATTAAGGGTACGATGTGTATGTTACAGAATTGTAGGGAATAGTCTTAAGACTTTTCTACTTTGTCCAGGATTCTTCGACCTTGCAACAGTCGTTTCAGGAGATCAAGAGAGAAAGGGGTAGTGTGCGATGTATCTTGCGGACGTTTATGGAGAAAGTTCGAAGAATGTTGCTGTTTAAATACAATGATAGAAATACCGGTTATGTTTGAAAAATACCCTCAATCTGATAGCCAGTGAGATTACTGTGAAAGATCGCAATATGTATCATCATAGACGGGCCCATTCCCACATTATATCCCCTTTATAGACACGGGACATGGTTGTTACAGGTAGGGCAAACACTTTCTTCTATAGGTATCTGCCGGTTTCGAGCTACATACATGTATTCAGATTATTGAGAAAAGTAGCGACGCATGTTCTCCTCCATCACACATATATACCGAGTGATTAGGGATAGCGCTGCAGCAACTTATTGAAATTTACGACATACATTA